GGAGAAAAACACAGTGAAAAGTCACAACAATTGGCTGAACAACTAGAAAGAGGGTTATATATGTCTAGCATGATTCTTCTCAAGATTTTTTTTTTACTAATTTAGTGGAAATATATACTAAGTAACAGACTGCTTCACATTTAATTTTTATACCAGTTTAAATAGTTGTCAACTTCATAGAATACTGCTAAACTAGAAACATAGAGCTCCTACAGATATATAAACTATCCAAAACAGATACAGAGGCCTTAGGTTGAAACTCCTACAGTTAAGCAGACACCAATTGGTTTCAGCAAGAGGTAAAAGTTTCGTAAGTAGCAAGCTAAGACAAGAATTCAAAAACTTACAGATGTGGCAGATGTTGTAATTGCAAAAAGCAGCCTTGAACTATAATCCACAGGGTGTGACTGAAGTAGATACATAACTCTGCAAAAAAGCATTTGTTTTTAATACAAGTAGAGCATAGCTACTGAAACACAGTGTATCGATATTCACTGAAATGTAAATATATTTCAGCTCAAAAATAGAGTAAGGATAAGAGATTCCAAGGATATAGAAAATGAGGAGAAAACCTCCAAACAGCTACTCTTAAGCACATGTTTATATCTGTAAATTATTGCAAATGGCATTTCATTGCATAAGGAAGTATTTGATGATTCAAAACAGATGTCACCAGAAAGTAAAAATAAGAACACAACAGTGGGTTCTGAATCACACACACTCTTAATTTTCTTTAAAAAGCCGGATATAGTTAAACTTGCAAGTTAACAATAATTCCTCATATTATATAGAAGACAACACACATACCTCCGGAGTTCTCCATCTTCTAGTACATGTCCAAAGATTTCCTGAGTTTTCTTTAAAAAGACATGAAAATCTAGCTGTGAGAGTCTTCTAAATTGTCTGGCTAAATAGCTGGGTCATATCCTTGCTTAAACCCTGTCTTAAAAAGCTGGGCATCCCTGCTAATGCAGCCAAGGAAAGGAGTTCTGGTTTTATCAGTCCTTTATTTAACCGTACGCTCGGCAGCCAACACCAGTCTGCAAACTGGTATTTCGAAGCAGAAACTATTTACAGCTCCTTTAGGCTGGCAACAAAATCTTACTGTAGCACCAAAGATTTTGTATGATCTCTATACAGAAAGGAGGGAAAGCATTTCAAATCATTCTCACTGGAGACAGTGGTGTACAACAATATTAGAAAAGTACTGAAATCCTTAGTAGTCTGAATTCACATGCATCTTAAATAGATTCATGAGTACTA